GCTCGTATCCGATATTTTTCGAAGGGGAAATATAAATTCCAAAATTTATATCATGCGATATCATGCACATTTTATATAAAGTGCGCATTAATGCGCATTCATGCGCATGTTATTATAAAATGCGCATTTTTCCCATCACTAGTCAGACCATTTGTTGGAACATAAAATAATAAGCGAAGAAATTTTTTTGAATGTGTTGTGCATAAAAAAACACGCACTGTATGTACGTACATATATATATGATATTGAGATATTTAATTAATAGAAACTGCAAAATAGAGGGTTGATACCTATAAAATAACCTTTTTTTGATTAAATATATTTCAAGGTACTGTGCATGAAGCTATAAAACCGAGCTTAGTTGCTCTCTAATATCTGCTTCGAACTTAAATTCGAACTATTAAAATCCGGATTTATTCATTATTGGTCAAATTCAAAAATAAAGATATATAAAATACAGTAGTAACATTGTACGTACAAACGTACGTACACTCGGTGACAAAAACATTCGATCAGTTAAAAATAAACCTGTTTGATCATTATAGAAATGTATAGCAATAGGTGATCCAATACTTATTATTCCCTATGCGTTTACAGATCGTGTAATATTTCAGATTTATACCCGAATTTAAGTTGAATCCGAAGGTCGAGTCCAATTCCAAACTCTATCTTTTTTATTCTTAATTGATTGCAAAAGGTAATAAGATGTAACAGGTAATATTTGAAGCAATGCACAGCCATGAGCTTTATCATAAGGATTCGAATAAAAACTTTATAGAATCTTGTAATATTTTATTAATGTAAGTATTAATATAAGCGATAATACAGTATTCAACCAAAATAATTCTAAATCAACATACTAAAATTCAGACCGATAGTCTTTGCATTTATTTAGCAATATATGAACAACCTAATGATTGGTGATACAAATCGAAAAATCAATTACAGTCAGACCTCGTTATAGTCACTCTCAATATAATCACAACCTTGTTATAATCACACTATTTTTTGACCTAGCTATTATAAAACTTATAAATTTTGACCTTTATATAGTCACAACTTTTTATAATCACCAAAATTTTGTTTCCCAACCTGGTGATTATATCGAGGCCTGACTGTAATTGATAATCCGGTTATGATCGGCACTATTTTATATAAGTAATTTGGGTAAAAATTTACCGATTTAATAAGAGATAATCTAAAGTGCATAAAGTCACAAGTTTGACAAGTCCCCCACAAATAAATATTTCCATAATATATAAAAGGTAACTTACAAAAATGGCCGAGATATATAGTTTTCAAAAAAAAATTCATGTTACTTTGACAAAAAAAAAACTTTTATTATATACAAATGTAAGATTTCACCAACTTTATTATATATAAAAACTGAAATTTCAATATATAATGCTCCATATATAAAGTAAGTAATATGAAAAAAAATTATATGCTAGAGGTTTTTAAGGAAAGCCTTGCCATATTTTGCTTCCATTTACATCTAAACATTGCAATCCAATTATTAATAGTAGATACTTTTGGATATCACTTTGGTCAAATTCACCACATTGAGCCTGTTTTAATAATTCTTTATATATTTCTTCACCTGAAATTTTGCTATTATTATCAACTGTTCCTGCATGGAACATATTTTCCAATAAGCTTCTGATTTGTTTAGTCATTCGTTTCCAAGGTTTTCTCTGACTACTTTTTTCATTTTTAGCTAGGGCCCATCCTAAAAAATACCCATCATGACTGAATTAGAGGTAAATATATAGTTGATTCATTATTTAAACCATTCATTTAATCTTGAACAATATATTTTACCTTTTTGATTTTGAATAAATTTCCATTTGTGTCAGATCAACTATATTTAGAGTATGTATTTCCTGAAATTTTAATAATTGCTTTTAACTATAGAATACAATATATTATCTGTTAAGAGTAAATATATCAGCTTTATTAAAATTACAAATTTTGTCAAAAGCCAAGGTAATTCCTAAATTCTTTTTTTTTTTTTTTTTTGACATCATATAAACAATTATTCATAATCAATAATATAGTACTACTTATTTTGTTTCTATTAATCCAAATTTGAAAACTTCATTACAGTGCATTTTTTACCAAATCCAATTTTAGTTACCAAATTACATATTAATCAATCAATCAATGCTAAGCCCTAAAAATTTTTTGGATCTCTGATTTACACCAACACGCCTAATCTGTCTTTTCCATTTTTTAACACATTTCATCATGCCTTATTAGACATAAAAATTTATATTTAGTAATATACCCTAACCTAGAAATATTAATTAGCACAGTCAAAAGTAAGTATTATACATAATCAAAATTTTTAGATTTTGTTATGTTTTATAAATATGCCATAATGTTTAGTGCAAATAAGAAAAAATTCTTAGTTCAATCATACTGATAAGTGTGATTTTTTAGATTTTGTTATCATATTGAAATATAACAAATTTCTAAAGATACTTTGGCAAGCTAAAATACCTTTGATAGGCAATCTTAGCTAATAAAATCTTATCATCAAGTTTTTCTGACATTCAATAGTTGATTTATTCATTATATTTTGATCTATTAAACAACAAATAAATAATTAAATTTAGATTAACAAAACTAAGGTATAATCATATAATAGTATATACTTTGAATTTGTGGCATTGGCATAGTCCAAGACTTAGGAGGCATCGTATGTTCAGATAGTATTGGTTCTGGCTTTTTGAAAATATAGCTTTTATAATTTTTATGATTTGTTCAGGTGCATATTTTTTTCATGGTCCTAACCCTGGTAATGATCTAGCCAAAATATATCTGGCTTCTTCTTCCTCATCCGGCCAAGTCCATTCATGCTAATAAGAAATTCTATGTATCATTTCCAACTTGTTATTTGCTTTATTTAGTTTGATTAATTAATACTTATTACTTTTTTAACTTAGAAGAAACAAGATATTCAAACCCTCACAATTAGGTATAATATTGGCAATGTGTATTCTTGCCAAGTCTTTTATTGCATCCTGTATTTCCTCACCCGATTCAATATCATGTCTTATTTATACCTATTATTTTATAGCATGTATTAACTAAACAAATAGCAATAATAGCTTATTAGGATTTGCTAATAAATAATCATAAAAAATGGATGAAAGTTTATCTAATACCCTGATCACTATATCAAGATCACAGGGTATTAATCAATAATATCCTGACCATATGTGTATAAGCAGAAACTTTATTTCTGCTAATACCCAATAGATCAGGATATTATTATTACTTATACCTGGATATGGTGTGAATCGATTACTATCTTTGCTTCACCTGCCTCAAGAAAAATCCACTTACACACTAAAATTCTATACCATTCCTTCCAATGAGCCATTATTATTATCAGCTCTGTATTGTGATAATGTGGTCTATTGTCAGAAAAAATACTAATCCATTTAGGTTTTGTTTTAATTGTTTCTATTATGGCATGAAGTGAAGATGCAGTAAACCAGACATTCTGTTTACTGTTACCACTCCAATGATCAAATGCATGGATATTAATTTTACCAGTATCAAAATCCTTTGTATATATTAAAACTGAGTAAAGTGATCACCCATGCTTACCAAAAAACTCAGCCTTTGTTTCTTACGATTTTTGACACAAAATTTTCATTTTGTAGTCAATAATTATTAATGTGCCATCTGAGCTAAGTTGCTCAAGATTAGAACTTAGTTGAGCATTAAGGTAAGTTTTCTGTGCATGATGAGCTTAAAAATATATAAGCTTAGTTTGATACTCATTTAGAATCTCATAAATCTCTGTAGAGGTATTAGCTTTTACTTCATCAAAAAAAATAAACAATTTTTCTCAATTTTCACAAGTCTCTGAAAGAACTAGATTACAATCACCAAATGCATGCCATAAATAATGACTTATACAGAGGTTGTGAACAGAATGATCTAATAGATCAACAGTAAATTTTATGGCCTAATCTCTTTGTAAATATCATTTTAAAGTTTGTGCTTGTGTACTCAATTTATCCTACATTTAGGCATTAAATACAATTAATATCTGTATACAAATATATATATGTTTGCATATATGCAGTGTTATTAAGTTGACCATGAAGAATTTTCATGATTATCATATGATTAATATATTTCTAATAAAAATATAATAATTACATGATAATCATGAAGATTAATAACAAAAATTTTTTTTTAGTAATTATGAATATGAAGTTTATATTTGCTATACAAAAATACCTTAGTTTTGTTCACTTGAATTCTGATTTATCATAACAATATCCAAGATCATATGCACTAGTGGCATAACCCTCTAACAGATTTTTATAATATTTGACTGCGATACTTTTATTCTTTTCAACACCATATAAGAAGCTGCCCTAATTTTATCTTTTAAAAACACTCTGGCTGATCTGAATAAAGCTACACGAGCAAGGGGTAGATGATTTATAAGAGTATTTTAGTAATTTTGGTATTTGTAATCAGATGGATGAGTACATAAGCAAAACTATATTTATAGTATTTGTAATACATACTCTAAGTATAGTTTTACTGTGTACTCATCCAAATGATACTTGAACTACGAAGAGATATGTATTACATTATTACGTACATCATTGAGAAGAATTGTAAATGATACTATATGATGTAGAATATTAGTCAAACAAAGATTATGAAAATGGTTATATTTATTCAAAATAAGTATAATATCCATGATATAACACTGCTTATACATATATATATATTATATATGTACATGTATATATATAATATATATATTTGATATATATATTTTATCTACTCACTTGAAGATCAATAATAATATATAGCTTTAAAAGCTTTTCAAATACCTCATATCCAAGCTCATTACAAGTTGAATATATACCGCCAAGGTTATTTATATATATATATCAACTACCTTGTAAGCAAGTCATAAATAATATAAATTGCATTCCATTTGGATATCTCTCATGAAATTTTTCTCATAAGGATTTTTTATAATTTTGAAGATATAGAATTGGTAAACCAGTTGATTTTTCAGTTCTATATGATGATATATTAACATTTTCTTTGTTAACAAAAAAATGTTCAAATTGATTTAGTTGTTCTTCTGTTAATTTTACATGATGGATAATAATAGGTTTTACAAGAGGGGTGCACTATGACTGTAAGACTTTGCATATTTGCGAGCTTCAGAGAATGTATAACAACCAACCTTTTAATGTTAGGTAATTAATTTATAAACACAAATTATTAATATATTACTTATTTTTAACTACACAATTAATAGTCTCTTACATCATTCTATAAATTATTTTCTAATTGCAGGTAAATTTTCTTGCTAGATAGTGTAAGAGATAAAATTTTATTATTTTTATATATGTTACGTATTTATAAAAAAAGCTTACACCTAAATTTTCTTCTAATTCATTATAAGTAAAATCTTCTGCAATTATTGATAAAATATGTTATTTTCCATTCTAAGTTTTTTTATTATTATTTAAGGCACGTGAAAAAGAGTTCCAAAAGGTATATGTTGTATTTGGCATATGAATAGGTATACTTATCAAAAATTTCAATTCATAGAATTGTTTAAGTATTGCAAAATTATGGTCTGGTGGATTGGATTTTGTCCAAAATTGATACTAATAAAGCAAAAATAAGTTTTATTATAGAATTTCATAAGTATTAATTAGGCAAAATTAGAGATAGATTCTGTGCATGCATATGATTCTGAATCATGCGTATTAATATGTATATTTCTGAATTATGTGCACTTTATCCTATCAAAATTTTTTTTATTTTTTAATCATGCGTGCATTAATGCATATGTTCAAAAAAATGCATAAAATATGCATTCATATGCATGATTCTGAATCATGCATATTTTATCCTATCTCTAGCCAAAATTTTTATTATGTACCTTTGATTCTGTGTATAACCAAGATGTTATATTATGAGTACAAGCAGCACGAAACATTGATCACTATGCATTTAGTTCTCAGTTACTAAACTGATAGTCTTTTGGATATAGCAGAATAAGCGCAGAATTTAGCTCAATGATATTACTTTCTTGTATTAACCAAGTAATAAAAAGATTGTGCCAGCTAATATTAGAAAGTGTTCTTTGTTTTACATGATAATCATATAGAGTTTTGATAAAAGAAAAATCTTTCTATTGATTTGGTGTACAAGTAGGAATTCAGTATTGTTTTATTAATCATTAAGTAATAACATAGTCAAGACCAAAAAGTTGGATGCCATTGTATTTATTAATACTAAAATTTTCCCAAACATCATTTGGAGATATTCTCTCTACTGACTTCTTTAATTGTGAATCTTGATAAACTTTGACCTTATATATATCATCCTCTATAAATGAAATATATAGCCCTTGTTTTTTTACCATATATATAAATTAACAATGATTGATAACCTGAACTGCCTTTACTCTAATCTTCTTGAGAAGATGACCTAATTCCAAAAACAAAAATCTTAAGTTGGCCCAAATTAAAAAAAAAGAAAAAAAAGGAACAATAGCTAATAGTTGTGAAACAATATCATGATCTGTCCATCCTATAATAAGTGGACCTGAATAACGAGTTTTCATATTGAAAATATGAGTATAAATTGAAGAAATTGCAGTACTAGGATCATGAACTGGAGTTTCAATGTAAAGGGTATCACTTTGACAATTATAACCAGGAAGATAAGGATTGTTAGAATAACTAACTGCTATAGTAATAATAAACTCACGATCATTAAGAATAACTTTCATTTTTTGTCCAATACGAATAGAAAAGTATGTTATATCTTTATTGTCAAAAACCTTATTTGTTTTCCACAAAAAAATGGGAATACGGCCCATAATGTAAAGTTTCATCCAAAGCACCTAGTTTTAATAAAGTAACCTGGGCTTGATGGATTCTTTTTGCCATTTTGTACTTGAGTTTCAGATTCCCGCGCTATAATGAAATTTATTATATCGATTATCCCCAATTTTTCTAACAATAATCACGTGATTAGTGCCGATCATAACCGAATCAGCAATTAATTATTTTAGTTGACACTAATCTGTTGAAATTTTTGAAAAAACAACTAATTGATTGAAAAATTTTTGCCAACTTATAATTAAAAATCGATTAAAAATTGAATAATCGTTTAGTTGACAATTAATCGATTAAAATTTGAACCAACCAAATAATCGATTGAAAAAATTTTGTCAATTTTATTATCACTACTAATAATTATATAGTACAGGCCGGATTTTAAAAGTAATCAGCTTTAATTCCTAACCCAAATGTATTACGTATATAGTTCTGCATAATCTTGTACCGAAAAAATATAAATGATAATTTTGCAAATGCTCGAGATTTCTTCATTAAGATTCAGAAAAATTTAGGTAACTAACAAAAGGTTGCGACAAAGATTTTTCTAAGATATCCTGATAACTACCTATCAGCTATATAAAATCGATGAAAATTTGTTTATTTAATTAATTCTCTAAATTTGTAGAAGCGATGATCAAATATAATATGCTAACTAACATCCATCCAAGAGTACGCAAGAACGTTCCTGGATGTTATAATTATAGTACAATAAAATAACTTCAAGTTTGCATATATGCTCTATTCAACAGTTCATTTTTGCAAAGCACGGAGGAATTAGAGTCCCTATAAGACAAGTGGTACGGGTTGTGGTACGGGTTGGTTTCGGGAATGCACGAAGTGGCACGGATTGTGTGGCACGCACAGGCACGTTTTACGGAATGGCACGGTAAAAATGGCACGGACATTTCG